TTTCCCTATTTTCCTTATTTTCATTATTTCCTTATTTAGGGACAAGTGAATCTCTATAATAGGAAAAAATACGAATGTAATTTGTGACACAAATTAATAAAATCATCTCTTTCAACTTGATATCAAAGCTCCTGATCTTGGGAGCTCTACTTTCGCTGCCTTTCCATAAAAAAAAGTTGTTGCCACCCTCCCCACCATCGATGTAGCCACCACCTTTGGAATTGGTTGTGAGTAGGAAGGAGCGCCCTTTTCCAACGATCATAATGACGTTAAGTCGCAGAGCTAGGCTCCTCCTCAAGCATTACCATAGATTGGTCTTTTTTCCAACCTATGTAGGCCATTCACCCATCTCGGCAACCACCCAGACAAGTTTGTCAACGACCCCCTAACCTATCCCAAGGGGTAGTGTCATCTAGATCCATGTTGCTTGTTTTATATTTGAGTTCTCTATTCCTCTTGTGTTTTGTGATTCCGCAAATTTGTCAATATTAGTAAGCCTTCTGATTCATGTACATTGTTCATGAAGGATTGGAGTTCCTTCACTTTTGACCCTATTTCTCAAATGTTTGGATTCTTGATTTCGAAGTAACATATCACATGACTCCCTTTCCTTCACTCTTTGCCTCATATTCCAAAGCAAACATCAAACAATTAATTACTATTGCTAATGGAGATAATGTGCCTATTGTTGGTTTCGACAACATTCAACTGGAGCCCACTCTTTTATTACATAATGTCTTACATGTCCTAAAATTGGCTAATGGTCTTATTTATTTACAAAAGCTCACTACAAACTAGAATTGCTCAGTAACATTTTTCCATTCCCATTGTTCCTTTCATGATCTGGCCAAGAGTAAGCCTATTTTAATTGCTAAAAAGCAAGGTGAGTTGTACATCTTGGAGCAAAAGAAGACTAATGACAAGAAGACAGAGTCAACCTCAAGCCAATATGCAAAGACTAATACTTGGGCAAACTCTCAAATATGGCTTCAACATATTAGACTTAAACATCCTCCATTTAGCCTTCTTAAATCCTTATTTTTTTGTTGATTCGTTTATTGGTAATAAAAGTGTCTTTCCATTTGACTTAATACACTTTGATGTGTGGTGACTTGTTGAGGAATTTGTCTCTAGTGCCAAATGGTTTGTGACCTTTGTCGACGACTGTACATAAGTAACATGGACATATCTTATTAAAAATAAATCCAAGATTGGTCATACATTTATTAATTTCTTTCATCTTGTTCAAAATCAATTTCGTAAGTCCATAAAAAGAATTAGGTATGATAATGGCACTAAATATATAAATCATGAGTTGTCTAAATTTAAAATGGCACTATACATGAATTGACATGTGTTAATACCCTCGGCCCCAAACAAAGTAGGATTGCAAAAAGAAAAAATTGTTATCTCCTAAAGGTCACTAAAGCTCTACTCTTCCAAATGTTTGTTCCCAACACTTTCTAAGGAGAAGTTGTTCTAATTATCACATATTTTATTAATTGGTTACCTAGTCATGTCCTAAATAATGCAAACCCTATTGAATCCTTACATTCACTTGTTCCTTCTTTTTCTCTTCTAAGGTCAAGTTTAAATTGTCATGATTTCGGTTATGTAGCTTAAGTCCATTCCCATTGTCCTTACTGAGGTAAATTAGATTTGAGGGCAATCAAATGAGTTAGTTTTGGTTACCCATCAAATAAAAAGGGAGGGTACAAACATTATCACTCTGAAATTCATGTTTTTTCGATATCATGGATGTTATCTTTCATGAAAATGAATCTTTTTTTGTCAATCCTCTTTATAAGCTGAAGACGAGTCTTGTTTAGCGTTATGACCATTCTTGTCTCTATAGGATATCCATAACGAAGGAGAAGAAGAAGTCCATAATGAAGTAGAAAAAGAAGATGAAGATATATTTTTGGGCAAAAAATATCGAAGGAGGGAGAATTTCACTTTGGTCCCACAGTAAGAGAAATCGTCTAACCCAAAGGTGAGTGTTTCTGAAGGCAATTCTTCGAAGGTAAGCGTTAATGATATTCTTATTGCTTTGAGGAAAGGAAAAGATCATGTGTTAAATATCATATTTCACAATAAGTCTGTATTGACCATGTGTTTACTTAGCATCAAAGTTTCATTGTTTCCATTGATTCAATAGATGTCCTAACTCCAATCAATGAAGTTATGACAGATGAGCACTAGATTCTAGCCATGAAAGTTCAGATGAAGGCAACGGTGAAAATCTCAACATGGGAGATTATAGACAAACCCAAAGGCAAGGTTGTAAGGTGAAGATGGATATTTACAATGAAGCACAAAGTTGATGTAGATAGGTACAAAGAATGATTGGTAGCAAAGGGATACAACTAAATTTATGGGATAGACTATAAGGAGACATTTGTGTCGGTGGCAAAGATGAATATAGTACGAGTTAGACTTTCCCCTGGCAACTCATTTTGGATGGGATTTATAACAATTTGATGTAAAAAAAAAATGTCTTTTTGCATGGAGATTTATAAGTTTACATGGAAATTTCCTTAGTATTTGGAGCTTCAGATGGAGAAAACAAAGTATGTAGTGTAAAAGAAAAGCCTTGTATGGACTCGAGAAATCTCCACGAGCAAGGTTTGGAAGATTCACTCACACAATGATTTCCTTGGGATACAAACAAGCCAAAGTGATCATAGTTTGTTCATAAAGCACTCCGCTAGTGGAAATCTCACGATTCTTTTAGCCTATGTAGATGAAACGATCATTGTAGGTGACAATGAAGCAAAAAAATTGACCAGAAGAAGAAGTTGGCAACAAAATTTGAAATGGATGACTTGGGGAAGCTAAAGTATTTTTGGGAATTGAAATTGCTAAGTTCAGGAAAGGCATATTTATCTCTCAAAGGAAGCATTTCCTTGGTCTTCTTAATGAAATAGGGAGGTTGGGATGCAGGACCTTAGGAATTCTAATTGAACAAAATCACAAGATTGGAAGCGAAGAAAGTCTTCTAATAGAAAAGACTCATTATCAAAATCTGGTAAGGAAGCTAATTTATCTATCACACACTAACATTACCTGTGTTGTAAGTGTAGCCGGTCAATTCATACTTGACCTTCAAGAAAGGCATTGCAAGTAGTTAATAAGATCCTTCAATACTTGAAGTCATGTCCAAGGAAGGTGTTACTATTCAGAAGAGGAGGCATCATGCCTTTGGATATTTATATTGATGCAGATTATTCAAGGTCAGTCACAGATTGGAGATCTATTTTTAGATACTATATGTTCATGGGGGAAATTTGGTGATTTGGGAGAGAAAGAAACAAAATGTAGTTGCTCATTCTAGTGTAGAAGCTAAGTTTTGAGCCTTGGCATAGGACATTTGTGAAGGGCTATGGATGAAGATTATTCTTAATGACCTTAGGATTAAAAGAGACATACCTATGAAATTGTTTTGTGACAACAAGTCATCCACTAGTATTGCTCATGATCCTGTTCAACATGACAAGACTAAACATATTGAAATAGACATGCACTTCATTAAAGAGAAGTTAGATAATGTTCTTATTGTTACAGCTCATGTCTCTACAGGACTCCAAGTGGCAAATGTAATTATAAAGGGACTTCCTACTAGTGGATTCAAGAGCTTATAGGCAAGTTGGGAATGATTAATACTCATTTTCCAACTTGAAGGGGAGTGTTGTAAACAAAAGGGTATTTTAGGGAATTTGATTTTATTATGTAATCTTTCCTTATTTCCTTATTTTTATAGTTTCCTTATTTAGGGCATGTGTATCTCTATAATAGGGAAAAATAAGAATGTAATTTGTGCGACACAATTAATAAAATCACCTCTTTCAATTGTGGACAATAGGGTTTGGGTACTAGACTCTTGGAGTTCATCATTCATTCTCCAAAAGAAAACATTATTCTTGCAATCCAAGGGGAAGCCTTTCATTGGGCCTATTGTGTTTAATAGGATTAATACAAATGATTTATTATAAGTTTGCAGGCAACACCAAGCTCTTCAAATGTTCATGGTGTGCCATTAGCAAATATATATAGTACAGATCTTTTAGTATTTTGTGGGGAATGTTCAAACATTTGGACTAATTTCTAATAAATCATTTTAGAGGTTTTGGGAGGAGCAAAGTGGCAATTGATGGAGTAATGTACTTCTCTAGACTAATTTGGTCTTAGCTTTTAGTGATCCTTGGGTGCTAAGACTGGTGAGTATTTTAGAGGGAATTGTTTGTCAAATGCATAGAGACAGGTGCGCTCATCTCACTTGATATGTTCTTCCTGATTTTCTTATTTTTTTATGTATTTTCTCTCTCTCAGTCCTACCTAATGAATTTCATTTTTTTAATACAACACAACAATACAAACTTTTCCCTAC